CAGGTTCGGCAGCAGTGGCCGCAAGGCCTTTGCAATGGGCTTCCTTGGCGCGCCCTCAATTGATACGGACTAAACGGTGCGATGCGCGAAAGCAAGCGCTGCGGCCGCTGTTGGGCAAGGGAGCTGGTGTTTCAAATGGGCAACGCCCGCGGCGAAGCAGACAGCGAGTCCTGTTCAAAAAGCAATACAGTCGGACCTAGGGCAGAAGAACATCCCTCAAGAACATGAGACCCTCCGCCCGCCCAAACTCAAGAACACTTGAGGATGCCCTCCCTGAGGATGCACAAGAGCATCCAACACACACGAAGAACACTACGGTACCTTCCTCGAACCGACCTCGATCTTATACCTCGGTCCGACCGTAGCTGCTGTTGGTCTTCGTCCAAATGTCTTCCGTGCCCATTCCGGTCGTACCTCGGAGGTCCCCGCAGATTCCCTCCGCCGGCGCTAGACCTCACATGGCGGCGCCAGCGGCGCTGTTCCTGTCGCGTCCAGCGTCGACCTAAAGAAATCCACCAGGGCCTCGGACAAATTATGGACCAGAAAACAAACGACACCACGCCACCTACGGCCCCAGGGGGCTTAGCATATAACAGGACATCTGGCGTGGGCTTTTGCGTGGTATGCGCTGCGGCCCCCGACGGGCCGAAGAGCAACATAGAGGGCCGTGGGTGGGGTGGTGCCGTTTGTTTGCAGGTCGATTATGTTTGTCCAGTTTGTATCTTCGCCGAAGTCCCCAGGGAACGCGACGAAGTCGTATCTGTCCCGCAGGAGGCTCAGGTCCTCCATGTGGCCAACACCTCGTGCGAGGGACGACCACGCATCATGACCAAATCGGGCTCCGTGGCAGAAAAAGACCAGACCTCTGGCGACCCGACAACCCAGCGTGCAGGAGGCGCCCCGTCATTGTCGGCGCCTGGGGGCCGTTCCTGGGGCCCCAGGGACCGCCCCCGAGTTGCTCGAGGAAAAACGAGCGCCCAGGGAAGAAATCGAAAGCTCCGGGAGGCGGCGACTCGGAAAAGCCCAGCCGTCGGAGGTCGAGTAGGAGGAGGAGGAGGAGGAGGAGGAGGAGGCGGAGGAGGAGGGAGAGAGGAGGAGAGGAGGAGGAAGGAGGAGGAGGGCGGAGGAGGAGGAGGAGGAGGTGGGAAGGCTCGGGATGCGTGAGAACCGGGCCGCGCGGCGCCGTTCCGGGCCGGGCAAGGGCGCGCGGAGGCGGGACGTGCGCTCGTCTGCGAGCGCGCGCGCGCACCGTGCTGTTGAGGGAAGTGGCTGCTACCGCACATCTGTCCTCCTCCTCCTCCTCCTCCTCCTCTCCTCCTCCTCCTCCTCCTCCTCCTCCCGCCTCCTCCTCGTCCTCCTCTTCTTCTTCTTCCTCCTCCTCCTCCACCTCCTCCTCCTCTTCCGCCTCCTCCTCGTCCTCCTCCTCCTCCTCCTCCGCCTCCTCCTCCTCCTGCTCCTGCTCCTGCTCCTGCTCCTTCTCCGCTTCTGCGCTCAACGGTGGCGCTGTCGCTGCACCACAAATTGCTCGCAGGGCAACAGGCGAGCGGCGCGGACGGCGCGGGCACCGATGGCGTCCATGCAGGTCTTCATGTAGAAGTCCTCGCCGCCGTCGGTGCCGATGTTCTGGCGGGGCCCAGACATACACGGATTCGCTTCAGCCCGCAGGCCGCAAAAGTCCGGGACCGCTCGCGACCCCTCCCCAACCCTCATGGGGGTAGATTTTCGTCACACATTCATGTTCAAGTGCCCCAAAGCCTGGAGGCGGTCCACGGGAGGCTGGAGGAGAAGGAGGAGGAGGAGGAGGAGGAGGAGGAAGCCGCGATCGCCCGATCCCTCCCCCATGTGCCCCGCAGGGGGGCCGAAGCGGCGGCCAGCGCGGCCATCACAGTTCGGCCGGCGATAGACCACATCGCTCACCACAAGGACCGTTGCTCTCGACCCCTGCTTGGGGCCACGCCGACAACAACATCAAGATCACGCAGCCCCGACGACGTCGGCAACGCGCTGATGCACGTGTTCTTCGATGGCTTCACGGAGCACGTGAACTGTTCCGAGCACACCACAGCGCCCAACAACCAATACGACCTTCGAATGCCATCAGCTCAGCTACGACGGCCGCATGCTGAGCTACGAAGCCCACAACCTGAGCTACGCGGGCCACGAGCAAAATTACGAGATCCCCCCGCAGAGCTACCAAGGCGGCGGGCTCAACTGCAAAGGACACGAGCATATCTTCGAGAGCCACCTGCTCAGCTGCGAGGGACACCTGCTGAGCTACGCTAGCCATAAGTAACCTGAGCTGCGCGGGTCACAAGCAAAACTACGGGAGCATCGCGCAAAGCTACCAAGCAACGAGCTCAACTGCAAGGGCCACGTGTTGAGCTTCGAGAGCCACCAGCTCAGCTACGAGGGCCACTTGCTGAGCTACGAGGGCCACAACCTGAGCTATGCGGGCCGTAAGCAAGCAAAACTACGGGAGCCTCCCGCAGAGCTACCAGGGCAACGGGCTCAACTGCAAGGGCCACGAGCAGGACCTTCGAGAGCCACCAGCTCAGCTACGAAGGCCACCTGCTGAGCTACGCGAGCAACTAAGCTCCAGGGGCTACCAGCTGAAATACGAGAGCCACCAGCGGAGCCTCGAGAGCCATAAGCAAAACCGTTGCATGCGACGAGGGGGCCCACTGGCAGCGAGAAGACGCAGGACAGCTTCGAGCTCCAGTCCTAACAGAAGCAACTCAACCGAGCCGCAGCTGGAAACCCCCGGCACGTCAAGAAACCGATCGCCATCGGCGACGCAGTACAAGGCAGGCTCGGCAAGACGTACCACGACTGCGCTGTGGAGAGGCTGGACGAGACGTCGGCCACGGCCCGCTGGCTGGACGGCACCACCTGCTGGCCCCGGAGCGCAGCACCCCGTGGGGCGCAGGGGACACTGACAGGCTACGAGGCCAGATGCCTATAGCGCTACAGCGCTGCACTGCACGTGCACCGTTAACCCCGTATTTCGGCTACCACGCTGCCTGCGAATATCCCGAATACGGCGCTACCGGCAAGATACGCTACGCGGTCGGGATAGGGGATGCAGAAAGGACATGGCGGCCTCCCTCCTCTTCCCCCCCTCTGAGAACTGAAGCTGGGCCCCCCCAGGGTCTGGGGGGTCCCGCGACAACCGCCCGCGGCGCGCCGCTGGACGCGCCAAGCGTCCGCGCGGACCTGGGGACGCGCTGAGCCGCGCTGCGTAAAGAGGAGCGGGGAGCGGGTGGGGGGGAGAAAGGAGGAAGGCGATGATGATGATGATGATGATGATGATGATCATCATCATCATCATCATCATCATCATCATCATCATCATCATCATCATCATCATCATCATCATCATCATCATCATCATCATCATCATCATCATCATCATCATCATCATCATCATCATCATCATCATCATCATCATCATCATCATCATCATCACAATAGCAATAATAATACGAATAATACTAATAATAAGCATTAATACTACTAGTAATAATACTAATAATGATAATAATACTAATAATGATAATAATGATGATGATGACGATGATGATGATAGTGATGGTGATGGTGATGATGATGATGATGATGATGATGATGCTGATGATGATGATGATGATGATGATGATGATGTGATGATGATGATGATGATGATGAGGATGATGATGATGATGATGATGGTGATGGTGATGGTGATGGTGAGATGAGGAGTGTGACAGGGAGGAGACGTTCAAGAGAAAAGAGATGATGATGAGGATGATAGATGATTGAGATGATGATGATGATGAGGAGGAGGAGGAGGGAGGAGGAGGAGGAGAAGGAGGAGGAGGAGGAGGAGTCGGGAGGGGAGGAGGAGGAGGAGGAGGAGGAGGAGGAGGAGGAGGAGGAGGAGGCGGGGAGGAGGAGGGGGGGGAGGAGGAGGAGGAGGAGAAGGAAGAGGAGGGGAGGATAAAGAAGAGGAGGAGGAGGAGGAGCAGGAGGAGGAGGAGGAGGACGAGAGAGGAGGACGAGGGAGGAGGAGGAGGAGGAGGAGGAGGAGGCATTGGCAGAGGAGGAGGAGGAGGAGGAGGCAACGTCACCAATGACACCAATGCCATCAGCGCCCAGCGCCCAGGAGGAGGAGGGAGTGCCACCAAGGGGGAAGATATAATGGATGACCGACCCGACCAAGCTGTTCTGCCTTGGCCCGCAGTTCTGGGTGTCCGCCTACTGCAGGCGGCTCCTGACGATGCTGTCCGTCTTGGCGACAGCCCTACACGATTCCTCCATTAAGGAAAAAGGTCAGCGGGGCCGAAATCTGATCGCGATCACGGAAGGCATTAGGGGTGGACAGGAGGAGGTCAGAGGATATCCCCAACGCATGCAAGTGAAGATGACAATCAAAACGAATTTTGTGAAGCAACAAACGGGGCAGATGAGGAATCCCACCAGCTCTCTGGGCGTAGGTGGTTTAGAGCGTTTCCTCCTCCACCCCTCCTTGTTCCCCTTCGGGGAGGGGTTTATCACTGTTCCCTATTGATAAACACCCCCTCCCCCAGGCGACTGGGGGCCAACCCGAGTCCATGACAACACCCCCCCCACCATCCCTTGAAAAAAACCATACAAAACACACTCTGCCTCCAAATTCGGAACATGCGCAGCCAACCCGATGCGCCCCCCCCCCCCCACCATCCCTGTCAAAAAACAATACAGAGTACACTTGGCGGCGGCGGCGGCGGCTGCGGCGGCGGCGGGCGGCGGCGGCGGCGGCGGGCGGCGGCGGCGGCGGCGGCGGCGGCGGCGGCGGAGGCGGCGGCGGCGGCGGATTGGCCCCCAGTAGCTGCCCATCCAAAGACGACTGCTGAATATGCTGAGGCTCGGGCCAGACTAAGGTGCTACGTATGTGTTGGGAGGGCGGGTGGGAGTGAGCGAGACGGCTTGTGGGCGGGGAGGGGGTCTTGACCCCTCCCCCTACCCCCTCCCCTGGACCTGGACAGGGGGTGTCGCGAGGTGCCAGGGCGTCCAAAACGGCCTCGGCGAGGAAATCAACATCATTGATTGTACTATGCTTTTGGCCCCATGTTGGCCTCCTGGGGGGGCGACTGTAATCCGTACCCCCCCCCTCCTGTGATCGATCCCACCCAAGATGGCCCAAAGATGGCCCCCAAGGCTCACAAGGGTGCCCCAAGATGGCCCCAAGATGGCCCCAAGAGGCATCCAGGAGGCCCCCAGGAGGCCCCCAAGAGACCCCCAAGAGGCCCCCAAGAGACCCCCCAGGGGCACCCAAGATGCTCCAAGAGGCCTCGGCGAGAATGCCAAAACGGCCTCGGCGAGGAAGCCAAAATCATTGGTTTTACTATGGTGTTGGCCCCATGTTGGCCTCCTGGGGGGGGGGACGCTAATTAATGCTCCCCTCTTGTTTGATCGATCTCCTCCAAGATGGCCCCAAGAAGCGCCCAGGAGGTCCCAAGAGGTCCCAGGATGGCCCCAAGATGGCCCCAAGAGGCCCCCAAGAGGCCCCCAGGAGGCCCCCAAGAGACCCCCAAGAGGTCCCAAAAGACCCCTCAGAGGCACCCAAGATGCGCCAAGAGGCCTCGGCGAGAATGCCAAATCATTGATTGCACCAAGGTTTTAGCCACATGTTGGCCCCTTGGGGGGCATTGATTAAGATCAAGAGCGCCTGGGGGAGCCCAACATGATTTCCAAGATGGCTCAGAATATCCAAGGATGTCTCATAATGGCTTCCTCTGTGTGCTGCCCGTTTCCCTGATCGAGGCAATTCCTCTGGGCATCGTTTCTGGATGGGCTGGTGGGGATTTTTTTTCGGTCGCGTCCACCAGCGAAGGCGCAAGCGGAGTCAGAAGCGCTCCGGGACACGGAAGCGGCCTAATTAGGTACTAAACGCGCCGCAGGCCGGCCGGTCCACTCACCAAGCAGCGGCAGGCTGCGCGGGAGGGTGGCAAGCACTCCTGCTGGTGGGGATTCGCGAAGCGTCAACAATTTCAGAAACAGGCTGGAAAATGGGCTGTCAGGCTAGGAACAAGCTTAATTCGGGCACTCAGGGCTACAGGACACTCATAGTAGTGACGAACGTAATCACCTCCCACCGCCCTGCATCCGAACCGACACGTCATAATCTTCCCTCCCATAGTGTCTAATTCTCCGAGACGTACACCACCAATTACACATAGCTCTCAACGGTGTTGCAGTGATGTAGAGGGGGGGGCTCGCCAAAAAACCAATATTGATAACCATGCGGGCAGCCTCAGCCTGGGTAGCCTGTGAACCGAAATGCTGAAGGCGTGGGAAGAGCAGCTGAGCGGCTGAGGGGATGTTCGAGCGAGCATGCAAGAACTTGAAGGCACACTTCTGAGGGTCGGACGAGTGACGGTCGCGAACGGGCTTCGGTGCCCCACCTTAATCTGGTCCTGGACCCCGGAGAAGTGGCAAAATATCGCCTGATCTGCCCAAGCCTGGCACTTGGGGTTTAGGAAACGTTCCTTCGTCATCGTCCATCGCATCTTCCCAGGCGTTCCGTGAAGAGAAAGTTGGTGACGTCTGACTGCGAGCCTGTACGCAGCAGCTCGACATTCGAATTCGAGATGGCGCGGCTCGAGCGGTGACACGATGGTCATGGAATACTGCAGCAGCTTCGGCGGGAACGCGTGCCACGGGCCAGTCGAGATGGACTGGAGACCTTCACTGGAGATAGCCTCGTTCTAGTGGTGGTAAACTGGCCAACGAACCTGACCACGGGGAAGCCGATAAGGTTGTGAGCCAAAAAGCTCGCCAGAAGCCCAAGCTTCAGGCTCATAATTAATATGACTGAACCTTTTTCCCGAAGCTCCGAGAGACGGTGGGCCCAGGAGGAGGCAGCCGCATGATTGAACCCAAGGAAGACTCCGAGATACCTGGCCGCACCTACAATTTTGAAATCCTCCTCCTCCTCCTCCTCCACTCCTGCAGCTGTCAGCTCAAGCGTGACATAGTGCCCATGAGGAGCAGGAGGAGGAGGAAGGAAAAGAGGAGGAGTAGGAGGAGGACGAGGAGGAGGAGGAGGAGGAGGAGGAGGGAGGAGGAGGAGGAGGAGGAGGAGGAGGAGGAGGAGGAGAGGAGGAGGAGGAGGAGAGGAGGAGGAGGAGGAGGAGAGGAGGAGGAGAGGAGGAGGAGGAGGAGGAGAGGAGGAGGAGGAGGCGGAGGGAGGAGGAGGAGGGAGAGGAGGAGGAGGAGAGGAGGAGGAGGAGGAGGCGAGGAGGAGGAGGAGGAGGACGAGGACGAGGAGGAGGAGGACGGAGGAGGAGGAGGAGGAGGAGGCGAGGAGGAGGAGGAGGAGGAGGAGGGGAGACGCCAAGCTTGAACAACACCATCCGCGCGGTGTTCTGGCGCGACGCAAGCGCTGGCGCTGCCAAGGAGAGGACCACTGGCGCGGCGCCGTCCTGCAACCGTCGCTTCGCCCCGCCTTCGCGCTCCCCCGTCGACATCGTCACGTACCTCCTTCGCGCCTTATCTTCCTTCCCTCCTCCGCCTCCTCCTCCTCGTCCTCCTCCTCATCCTTTGCTTTCTCAGCCTGGCAATTAGAATGAGCAGCAGTACCACAACCTACACCATCCTCCTCCTAATCCTCCTGCTCCTCCTCGTCGTCATCATCATCATCAGCAACAGCATCATGATCGTCATCATCAGCATCATCATCACCATCGTCATCATCACCATAATCATAATCATCATCATCGGCAGCAGCATCATCATCGTCAACATCATCATAAGCATCAGCATCATCATCATAATCATCATCAGTGTCATCATCATCGTCGTCACCATCAGCATCACCATCATCATCACCACCACCATCATCACCATCATCATCAGCTGCATCATCAGCATCATCAGCAGCATCTTTATTAGCAGCATCAGCATCATCAATAGCATCATCATCGTCGTCATCGTCATCATCGTCGTCATCGTCATCATCATCATCATCATCATCAGCATCATCATCATCATCATCATCATCATCATCATCATCATCATCATCATCATCATCATCATCATCGTTGACATCATCATCAGCATCGTTTCCCTCATCATAATCGTCATCATACTCATTCTATTCTGCATCAGTATCACTAGCACCATATCATCAACAACAGCAGCATCATCATCGTCATCACCATCATTATCAGCAGCATCATCATCACCAGTATTATGATCATCATCACGACCATCATTATCATCGTCATCATCACCACCATCATCCTCATCACCATCATCATCATCATCATCATCATCATCATCATCATCATCATCATCATCATCATCCTCGTCAGCATCATCATCACCAGCATCATCATCATCGACAACACCAACAGCATCATCATCAGCAGCAGCATCAGCATCATCATCAGCATCACCCGAACCATCACCATCCTCATCATTATCATCATCAGCAGCAGCGAATTCATCAGTATCATCAGAGCCATCATGATCAGCAGCAGCATTATCATCATCAGCAGTATCAGCATCATCATCCTCATCCTCATCCTCATTATCATCAGCATCATCATTAACATCAGCATCACCACCACCACCATCATCCTCATCATCATCACCACCACCATCATCAGCAGCAGCATCATCACCATGATCATCATCAACATCATCAACATCATCAACATCAGCATTATCAGCATCATCATAATCATTGTCATCGTCATCGTCATCACCATCATCATCATCACCATCATCATCACCCTCATCATCGTCATCGTCGTCGTCGTTCGTCGTTGTCATAGTAGTCGTCGTCGGTCGTCGTAATCATCATCATCATCATCAACATCATCAGCATCAGCAGCACCATCATCATCACCATCACCATCACCATCACCACCACCATCACCATCACCATCACCATCAGCAGCAGTATCATCATGTTTATTGCACCTGTTCCTCCTCCTCCTCCTCCTCCTCCTCCTCCTCCTCTTCCCGCCTCCTTCTCCCTCCCCCTCCTCTCCCTGACTTCGCATCCCACGTCCTGCGAAGGGCACGTCGCCAGAGAGGCGCTGGCCTAGACAGAACCTTGCAAGCACAGGTGGACGCACCCTCCGCCTCCCCCAACGAAAGGCCATCGCCGGGGGCGTCGTGGGGCGGGCTGGCCACTAGGCAGTCGCCCTGGTGCTGGTTGTAGACGTCGATGGCGGCCCGCGAGAAGATCTCCAGCGAGCCCATGAAGCCGAACTGGGCCGGGCGCGGCGGGCACTCCGAGGCGGCGGCGGCCAGCGGCGGGAGCGGCCCCGGGAAGGGCGGCGCCGGGAGGCAGGCAGTTGGCGGAGACAGGCAGGGGGCAGGACTCGCTGCACCGACCTTGCAGGCGTGCTGCAGCGGGTTTTTGCGTGGACTGCTGTCGGTGCAGGAGCCCTGAAGCGGCGAGCGAAGAGCGGAGTGCATTTCGCGTGGATTTGTTTGTTTCGTCTTTATTCCTGGCCAGAAGAAGCTCCGCACGAAATTCGCCTCGAAATCCGGAACGAACTTCTCCAGGACACTCCTGGCCCATCCTATCGTTTTCCAAAAGAAATTCGCTCTGCGATGTTGGCGCCAGCCATGACAGGATTGACTGATCGATTGGGCAGCTGATGGCGGCAGCTGTGGCTGCGTGACTGGAACGAAAGACGCGTGGCCAAGGCGGCCATTGCCAGAAAGCGCCCATGTCGAGGATCGGAGGCTGAGTATCGCTTATCCGATCCCCATCCCCAGCGGCGTGGCCTGGGCGGACCCCATTTGTCGATTTACCCCCCTAGATGGGCATATAGGCCGTTCCCTTTGGGTTTCGAGGGGTGCATCCCCAACTGGGGGGGTGGGGGGGTAATGTGATGGGGGTCTCGAAGGGGATGGGGATGGGGATAGGGATCGGATAAATGACACTGAGCGAGGAGGGGCACGGGGAGGGGGCAAGAGCGGCAGGAGAAGCGCAGCAAGAATCGGGAGCGCAACACCCATGGGGAGACCACGAGGTACCCATACCGCTAGCCCCCGGACCTCTCCCAGGGTGCGTTCTGACCAGGAGTTCGAGGGGAATCCAGCGGTGGCGACGAAGGCCGCCCAGGAGGCCCAAAAAGAGGAAAACGGGCGAAGGGTAGAGGTATGGGTACCTTTACCTCCGCTGAACCCCCTCCCCCCTCCCTCCGGGCCCTCCCCCGTCGGGGATCTTCTGACCTGGGTCAATCCAGACCCGGGTCAGCAGGAAACCAAATTATCCCGGCAAAGCAACCTAACAGCGATGTGCAGGAGCATATCTGGAAGCATTCCCGTTAAGATTCAGATGAGAATCCTGTTGTAGAATTCTGCTGTTCTCGCAGTCGTAGTCGCATTCGCGATGGCAGTCGCAGTGGCAACGGCAGTCGCAGTCACAGCCTCAGCCTCAGCCTGCCTCAGCCTCAGCCTCAGCCTGCCTCAGCCTCAGCCTGCCTCAGCCTCAGCCTCAGCCTTCAGCCTCCATCAGTCTGCCTTCAGCCTCGCCTCAGCCTCAGCCTGCCTCAGCCTGCCTCAGCCTCAGCCTGCATCAGCCTCAGCCTCAGCCTCAGCCTGCCTCAGCATCAGCCTGCCTCAGCCTCAGCCTCAGCCTGCCTCAGCCTCAGCCTCAGCCTGCTTCAGCCTCAGCCTCAGTCTGCCTTCAGCCTCGGCCTCAGCCTCAGCCTGCCTGCCTGCATCAGCCTCAGCCTCAGCCTCAGCCTGCCTCAGCTCAGCCTGCCTCAGCCTCAGCCTCAGCCTGCCTCAGCCTCAGCCTCAGCCTGCTTCAGCCTCAGCCTCAGTCTGCCTCGGCCTCGGCCTCAGCCTCAGCCTGCCTCAGCCTCAGCCTGCCTCAGCCTCAGCCTGCTCAGCCTCAGCCTCAGCCTCAGCCTCAGCCTGCCTCAGCATCAGCCTGCTCAGCCTCAGCCTCAGCCTCAGCCTGCCTCAGCCTCAGCCTCAGCCTCAGCCTGCTTCAGCCTCGCCTCAGCCTCAGTCTGCCTTCAGCCTCGGCCTCAGCCTCAGCCATGCCTCAGCCTCAGCCTGCATCAGCCTCAGCCTCAGCCTCAGCCTGCCTCAGCATCAGCCTGCCTCAGCCTCAGCCTCAGCCTGCCTCAGCCTCAGCCTCAGCCTGCTTCAGCCTCAGCCTCAGTCTGCCTTCAGCCTCGGCCTCAGCCTCAGCCTGCCTCAGCCTCAGCCTGCATCAGCCTCAGCCTCAGCCTCAGCCTGCATCAGCATCAGCCTGCCTCAGCCTCAGCCTCAGCCTGCCTCTGCCTCAGCCTCAGCCTGCTTCAGCCTCAGCCTCAATCTGCCTTCAGCCTCGGCCTCAGCCTCAGGCTGCCTCAGCCTCAGCCTGCATCAGCCTCAGCCTCAGCCTCAGCCTGCCTCAGCATCAGCCTGCCTCAGCCTCAGCCTCAGCCTGCCTCAGCCTCAGCCTCAGCCTGCTTCAGCCTCAGCTTCAGTCTGCCTTCAGCCTCGGCCTCAGCCTCAGCCTGCCTCAGCCTCAGCCTGCCTCAGCCTCAGCATCAGCCTGCCTCAGCATTCAAAATGTGGCCCGGGAATGGAGTTCTGGGAACTCGAAGAACACGAAGTGGCCTACAGTTGGCTCCAGGCATTCAAAATCATGCCCAGGAATGGAGATCTGGGAACTCGAAGACCACGAAGTGGCGTACAGTTGGCTCCGGGCATTCAAAATCTGGCCCGGGAATGGAGTTCTGGGAACTCGAGGACCACGAAGTGGCCTACAGTTGGCTCCGGGCATTCAAAATGTGGCCCAGGAATGGAGTTCTGGGAATTCGAGGACCACGAAGTGGCCTACAGTTGGCTCCGGGCATTCAGAATGTGGCCCAAGAATGGAGTTCTGGGACCTCGAAGACCACGAAGTGTGTAACTGTTGGCTAAAAATGAGCTCCGCTGGATTCTCCCGGTTTCTGCCGGCTTCCGCCCGGACCCCCCTGGAGTGTCATGATGCTCTCTTTTGACCCTACTAGAAACCTATCAGCACAAGCTGTTAGGTAAAAACTGCAATGCAGGTCTTCGCAAACGCGGGTCAACCAATATGCGCGGCCGCCTCGCGCGGCCACCTCCGCCAACCCGGGTCAGCCAGCGAGGGTCTTCGCAGGATCCTGCAGGATCCGGTGCCCTGGCTGACCCCCGTTTGTCTCGGGGATGGACAGACCCCCCTTTAGCAAAACGTGGTTTCGTGAAAACGACCTGAGGCCCAAACCCGGCGGGCGCAGGCCTGGAAATTCACGGCCACGGCAACATCTCGAGAACCGAAAACGGACAATTCACTCATCGACGTGTCACTGTTGGGGATTCTGTCCACCTCCGTTTGTCTCCACCTCGCGGCCACGAGCGGCTCGCTAACCCGGGTCAGCCAGAGAGGGTCTTCGCAGGATCCTGCAGGATCCGGTGCCCTGGCTGACCCCCGTTTGCACTGACCCCCCTCTCTTATAGGGAGCCCACGAAGGACGTACGCGCCCAGCTATGTACATGAACACGGCCCCGTGACCCGCGAGACCTGCCGCGTGATACGAACATTCGCGCAATGCGACCTCTCGACACCAGCGTGGATTCATGTACGTGTACGTCCTTCTTTCGCTCCTGATCTTAGGCGCCGACCCCTCCTCCTCCGCCCTCCTCCTCCTCCTCCACCTCCTCCTCCTCCTCCTCCTCCTCCACCTCCTCCTCCTCCTCCTCCTCCCCCTCCTCCTCCCCCTCCTCCTCCGCCCTCATCCGTTTGTCTCTTAGGCGCCGACCCCAGGCTTGACCCACGACGCCGGCAGTGCTCCGCCCCCGTGGCGTGAGGTCCGCAGTCGCTCCGGCCGCCCCCGCCCTCGAGCCTGCTGCCTCTCCCCTGCGGCCAGCGCTCCTTCTCCTTCCCTCGAGAAACAAGAGGAGGAGGAGGAGGAGGAGGAGGAGGAGGAGGAGGAGGAGGAGGAGGAGGAGGAGGAGGGAGGGGAGGAGGCGGAGGAGGAGGAGGAGGAGGAGAGGGGAGGAGGAGGGAGGAGAGGAGGAGGATGGGGGAGGAGGAGGAGGAGGGAGGAGGAGGAGGAGGAAGAAGGAGGAGGAGGAGGGAGGAGGAGGAGGAGGCGAGTGGCATAAAGTTTCGGAGGTCCGCGCGGATTTCTTGGATCGACGCTGGACCGCAATCTTTGGCGCGCGGAGCGCGCCTATGGCGTCGCCAGAGGCGCCGCCAGGGGGCTCTGGCGCCGCTCTGAGAAACCTACGCGGACCTCCGAACGTTCATGCTTATGTCAATATCTGTCCCCCGATTACCCATCAGTCGGAAGAAGTGATGGGTAGAAACATGAAGTAGGAAGTCGTTGGAGGTACCAGGTAGAGTGGGTCTCCGCCTGCCCCCTAAGGGGGAAGGAAAAGGCGAAGCCACTCGATCAGTGAAGTAGGAAGGCGCCTAAAGCATATTGTAACCTGGGAATCAAAAAATACCGACTTTCAACGACCGATGGGTACTCCAAATGCCATAATAAAGCGGGGGGGGGGTCACATTTGGGGGGGGTCTGATTTGAGCTGTCTTGGGAGGGTTCGGGGGCGCCTGGGCAGAGGGCCGCCCTGTCAGGGATGGTCTGGGGGAGTCTAAAACTTCTCGTCCGGGAGGGTTGTGACCCCCTCTCCCTTTCATTACGAAACCTGGAGTACAGTCGGGGCGCTGACCTAAGGAACCCCAAATGAGGAACGAGGCCCCTCTTCTCCACGAGTTCAGCTTCGACTTCTCGTTGAAAACCCAGGGATCACCCGGGGCAAAATGTGAAACAATGAATGAACACGGAGCCCCTACCCAACGAGAAAGGGTTCCTTCTTCAGCGCCCCGACTGCATCTGCTCCCCGATGACCTCCCCGCCCCCTCCCAGGAGGCGCCCACGCCCACGCCCACGCGCCGAAAAAGCCCGCCGCCGGGGCCCCTCCTGGGCCTGGGGCGGCGCGCACGGCCGGACCCGCGGGCTCCTTGCCCGCAGCACTGCGGGAGGCGCGCGCGACGACGCACGCGTGTGCACTTCCTGAAGGGGCCCTGGGACACACAAATAAATACACACAAATCAAAAGATTCCCCATCTTTTTCCATATTTTTTGGTTTTTTTTTTTCTTCCCCCCACTTCCCATATTCTCCCATATTTTCCTGGGAATCGACGATTAATTGTGTCTGTGTGTTTTTTCCCCACCTGACATTCGTCTCTTTTTTTTTTTTTGAAGATGGAGACTTGAGCGACTGA